ACCACTACTGCCATGTAAAGTTTATCGATTCATTTTGACTGTAATGTAACGTATTATTGAAAAATATCATAAAATACAAATAAATAAAAATCTATTACAATCGGTAAATAATAATAGTCTCATCCAGTACAATAATTGCCCTCGAGATACTATGGAATAATTTATTACTTTATCTGTCGCGCGCCATCAGTTATAACATATTCAAATATTTTCTTTTTCGCAAAATCACAAGACGCATTTATTTCGTCCGTTTGTCTCGGCGATGTTTGCCCCCATTTGAGCCCCAACTGAATAAAAGAATAAATAATTCTATAATGTAAATTCCAATCATCGGCAACATTAAAACGAATTCAATGTAAGGAAGTAATATTCAAGACGTTTTGACTGTTCTAGCGTCGTTCTGCCAGCGCAACCCGTTTCAATGAAAAAATGAAAATAATCCAATCGGTTCCAACTGTCGTTATTTACGCGTAGTACGTTGCATCAGACGTTTTGGCGCGATTTATCATTATAACTGGTTATAAATTCAAGCTACACGCTTAATTACAGTCGCATAAATATTATTGTTGATCAAAGCATCCACTCTGAGTACAATGTCTTAAAAATTCTGAATGAGAATCTTGACCTTTTGTCAAGTGGAAAATCTATTTTGAAGGCTAGTTCGCAAATATTTTAAATCATTTCTTTATCGAGTGACAAAAACATTTCATTCGTCATGCCGTTGAAAAATACTATTTTAACTGTGTACAATTAAAGAAAAGTTTTAATAACATTATTCAAGCACGAAAGTTACAATTACAAATCGATTATTTTGATCAAAATTAATTTATATGCCAATAACGCTAATTAAGAAAACAATTATATCCAAGGTTGTAAATAATAAAAGATTCATTTATTCAATTGTTTTAAATAGAAAACCAACAGAAAAAATACATTTTTAATTATTATCCATAATAACTTCCAGTAAAAAAACATTTTATCTTGATAAAAATAATTATTTCATTTGCAACGACGTTCAAACATTTGCTATATCAATGTTTTATTCATTTTTCACAAACGTGAAAAAAAGTTTAGAACTTTTAAATTGTCTTACGAAAGTCGACATTTAGAAGAACAAAATATTAAATTACGATAAAATTGACTTGTAAATTGTAGACACACGACAAAGATATATTTTTCTAAATAAATTATTAAAAATTAAAAAAATAAATAAATTTCGTAACTTCTCAAGTTATGGGAATTAATCCTCAGAAATTTATAAAAAGGACTTTAAACTTTATGCATTTATAAGGTTTGTTTTAGTCATCTCGATTACATCAATGATAAATAGATTTACAAGTTAGTTTTTCTTAACAACGAAAAGTAGTGTATATTAAAAATTTAGTTAGACGTTTATGATTATTTTTCACGTAGTTAATTGACTCAAAAGTGATTCAAACAAATTATATAAATGCATAAAGTCCCGAGCCCTATTTATAAGTCTTATTTATTAAAATAAATTTAATAGTTGTTACTTGAACTTTGTTTATTACTTCTTTAAATTATTTTATCAACACAGAAGTTTTTATGATATATTTATTTAACTTTGATAGTTACTAATAGCTATATTTTGTTAATCACATAAGGGTGTTTCTATTGTTTCCATTGTTCATAACAATTTGTTTGTTTTCTTACGTAGTGAACGCTATGTATAGTATTATATATGAATACATTTTTCGTGTACCTAAGTTTAAATTTAATCAATAATGATCCGAAATTGATAAAGTAGTAATGTTTTTAATCGCCCAACAAAAAATAATATATTTTAAGATACTAAAGGCAAAATAAAAAATTTTAGAACATAATCAGAAACTGGCTAAATCTTTTTACTAAATAACAAATGAGATAAATTATAATAGCTACGTTTTGTTCGTTGAGAGAAAAATATAAAAATTTAATACTAAATTAATTTTATGAATAAATATAAGCATTTTTTTGGAAATAACAATGAAAACAGAAAATAACTAAATAAAAATATGGCTAAAAACAAGAAGTTAATCATTAACTGGAAGAATTTCTAATGATAAAAATCATTAAGTTAAAGTGAAAAACTTGAAGGTTCATTTTTGATTTTTCGTGGTAATAAACGTATTTTTTAACCTAATGATTACAGTACACGTAAATTGTTATATACACTAAAATGATAAAAGGTCAATTTTGAAAAAAATCAATGGTGGACATAATCTAGCTTAATAATTTAATTTTTTTTTAACTTTTCAATTTAACAAGTTAATTATTTTTCTAATAAAATTCTTAACTGAACTAATTTATCTTTCCATTAAAATAACTTAGCTTTTTTCATTTAATTAGTTAAAATAACAGTTAAGTTAAATTAAAAATTCCATAAAAAATGTATATCTTTATACGTTGCGTACGCGGTTTAATTAAAAAACAAATCGAATTTTTTCTTATCCCAAATATTATATAACAATAAATATAATTTTCTGAATTTTTTGAAAAATATATGCGATTTTAACTGATTTTTTTTTAATAATTAAAAAAAATGTTTGTTATCATTAATATTTTCTTCCTATTCGGTTAAAAATCGATTCTAAGCTTTCCCTTGCATCATTGACCAATAAAAATTGATTTTAAGAAATTTTAGCGGAAAATTAATTTTAAATCAAATAAAAATGTTTAAACTAATTAAGTCAAAATATATATTAACATTATTTTAACTTAGCCAGTTAAATTTATAATTTGGCAGCTTTTAACTGTTAATTTATCGACATTGTTCATACTTAACTTAATTTGAGTTAATTATTTTGATTAACTTGCCCATCCTTGAAAAAATGATTGCTTACGTCAAATATATCGCTAGCAATTGATGTAAAGAATAAGTAGAAAATTATTAACTGAAAATATTAGTATTAACTAAATTGTTAACATTTATAACATAAAAACTGTTTATAGTAATAAATATTCATTGAAAATTTATGACTGGAAAATAATCATCTATAATTTGATTTTTAGTTGCTTGATAATAAAAATATAGAAAGTTCTCTAAAATAGATTCAATTAAAAAAAATAGTTCTATGGCTTCTTAATGTTTCATTAATTATTCAAAGTCTAAAAATAATAATCCTCCAAAAAAAAAAAATTAATTTGAAAAATCAAGAATTGGTCTCAATTTGACAGACAAGTATAGATTTGATTACTTCTAAATATAACTCTAAAATGTTAAAAAAACTCGAGGACATAAAATTGGACAATTGGTTAATTTTTATTGGAAGTATTATTTATTGGGGTATATATCTAATTTTATTATGTTGAATTATCTAATTCTAAAATTATAATTGTGAGAGCAACCGATTTTTTACTTGTTGACCACCCGGGTACATTTTACAATGTGAAATATAATACAATCACGTTAAAAAGAATATTATCCTGAGAGATAATTATGATAATTTTATACCACTACATAATATGCAATCGTCAGTTATACTTATCATAGAAAACTCCTGCAAGGTATAAATTTATTTTAGCATATTATATGGAAAATAGTTAAGTATTCAAAAAACCGTAAGTCATTAACGATTAGCACGATTTAGGATGATCAGTAAAGTTTGAATGAGTATAGTTTGTATTTTAGTTATTTTATAGCCTTGGAAGTTGTGAATGAAATTAAACCAGTAGTAAGTAATATTTTACAATACTAACAAATAATTATTGGGATTACTATAACTTCATCTAGATAATATGATTGAGACAACTAAAACTGAAGGGATTAAAGTGATAAAAAAATTGGTTCTGTGATATTTTAAACTTTGGGAAATGCCATTTTTTCAATATAGTTTATGGAATCATAAATAACTTATAATTAAATAAGTAATAAGCTTAATTAATTAAATAGCTGTAATCTTTAATTCACCCAAAAAAATGCTCACATTGTCCAAAATTTCACCAATACATTTTCAAGATGCCAATTTTCAGGAGTTTTAAAACTTTTTATTTTTCAGTAATCATTGAATAAGTTACTCAAGCTCTAATTTTTTAAAGACTTATTTAAATATTATTTGTATTAGTGTATTTTACTAAATATGTATTGGAATAAAATCATCTTTAAATTATTTCATTAAATTTAAAATTTCATATTTTTACACGACAGTTATTTGAATATTATTTTAATAAAACTAATTATTAGACCGTGACATTTTGAAGAATATCCTGTTCTATGTATTTTATATGTATTGATAAAACAAATAAACAAATTAATCAACTCAAAATAACTTGATTTTTTAGGCTTCAAAAATTTAAATTTTAAATGAACTGATCCATAAAATCTTCACAAACGTGATTTATAATTTATCGAACATAAATCTACATTATATTATTAACCTATGTACTTAATTGAACATTGACTTTTTATTTTGCTCAAATAATTAATTACTGAATTGAGATAGCTTGTAAAGATACTATTTTATCGTCATTTAGACTGAAATTTGAAAAATATATATAAATAATGGAAGTTATGCAACATTATAAAATCAAACTAATATTTAGTTGAAAAAAATATAAATTAGGAACACGTTAACAAACAGCAGCTCTTATTAAAATGTCTTAATATGTCACTTTTAGTAAAATAAAATTTATTTGTAAGACTAATTAATAAGACTATGCATTTTAATATATCAACTCGCAATATTCTAGTTGTGCGTCGACCACAAGACATCTTTGTATGAAGCCTCTTCTTTAAATTTTTTGTGAGAATATAGTTTTATTCATTTTGGATCCCGTCATTTAAAAAATAATTATATAAAATTTTAATAATAATAGAAAAATATATAATACTCATATAAATACATATAATATATTATCTTAATGTATATTGTTATAGATGATTTAGTATTTTAGTAACAATAGAATATAAATGATTCAAAAAAATCGTTAAATATAATTTTAAAAAATTACGTATTTTCTTTTAAAATAACTTATTATATTGAACATTTTTTAAACCAAGTATAATTTTTCTATTTAATATTTTTCAAAAATAAGTTAAGTAATAACTGCAACAAGTCGAATGAATTATGAACTCAATATTTAGGAAAATTATATTATGGTTACAGGAAATATTTATTTTGCTCCTATGAAAAGTTAATAAAAATAAGATAGACATTGTTTTAAAATAAACGAAATAGCTTAAGCAATATTTCTTCTTAACAGCTTAGCGGACCATGTAGATCCATTGCTGCCACTACTATTTCATTCATTCGCTCCTCTATTTGCACTTTTTCATTGATCATTTTGAAATCTTTTTTTACTGTGTCCTACCGTGATGTTCGTGGTCATCCTAACGGTCTTATCCCCACAATTCTTCCTTCTGTAACTCAATTTATAGTTCTCCTATGTACCCTTTAAACATGCCCAGTCCATTCTTTACTCTTGAGTCTGCAATACGATAGTATAGTTGGTGTTCCGTACATATTTTGTTAGTTATTATTTCTTTCGTATGTTCTCGTTTCCAGGGAATTTAAACTCTGTCAAATAATATTAATAAAATAATAAATTAACTTTATTTATTTGATTTTTTCAATTATTCCAACAAAAACGCGATTAACTTTATATTAATTTAATGAAACATCATTGAACTAAATAAAAATTAATTTAAGGGTTGTGGCATATGTATTTTTTGAGCTGTGGATGAACACTTCATGATATTTAAGTATCATATATATACAGAGTGGAACAGGTTTAACTGACAACTTATACAACTTATGATCTACATTAAATTTTATACTTTTTTTTAAATCAATTTTTACAATATAGGACTATATTTAAAATGTATTTTATTTTACATAATTACAAAAAACAATTTTTTTTAAGATTTAAAGGTAGCCATTTTATAGATGATGATAATAATAATAATAATGAATATGCACATTTTCTAACATGATGAAATTGATATTTTTGCCAGAAAATAACGTAAAAAGATAATGTTTACTTACATATGATGCCATAGATTCCACAGAAAAATCGTAAAAAATTTTAAATTTAACAAATTTCAAAATACTGTAGAAACGTAACTACTGAATTAAAATGAGAAATTTTAATATAAAAAATTTCTTTTTTAAACTTTTTGTAAAATGGCTAACTTCAAATCTCAAAAAAAAAAAATGTTTTTTATAGTTGAAAGATATAACATAAAACGTATTTTAAATATACTCCAATATTGTAAAAGTTGGTTAAAAAATAGTATAAAATGTTGTGTAGATCATAAGTTATATGAGTTTTCAGTTAGATCTGTTCTACCTGTGTATATATATTTTATCATTCAATAAATGTTCATATATCAGTTTACATATGTTTAAGAATTTTTTTTATATATGGAAAATTTCAAGCTGAGTTGAACTAGAAAACTTATTCGGAGTTGGAAAACACACAAACCGAGTCATTAGAGTAGTGTTAGCTGTGTTAAACCTAACAATTAAATTAAATTGACTTTTATCTTTCAGTACTCATAAAATGCTACCCATTTCTCGTTCTAATTAATTTTGTTAAAAATAATGTGGTGACAAATGTACAAACTATTTTTAAATCTATCTAAAATTTCCCCCTTTTTATTATTGACCAATCAGTCTATCGGGAAAATTCCAGAACTCCATGTAGGCTAATCTGGCCTAAGTTCTTAGACTTATAAATAATATTGAACTATAAACAAGTTTCAAATTATTTAATAATTAATTTATAGAAAGTTATCTATATACGCAATTTTATGATAACAAAAACATTAAAAAGCTCACTATTATTACAATGTAACTTTTTAGTGAAAAAAATGAAATCATCTGTTACTTATTTCTATTTATTTGAATCTATAATGAGTTTAATTGCATAAGTTTCACCGCAACAAATTTCTATGAATGTATCTTGACAGCAAACCCGACTGCTATAAATTGTGAGAAGCCTTAAAATATAATAAAAAAAATTAACCGTAAATGCAACTTATAACGTAACAATTATCCTAGGTTAAGTTTTCATGAATTACGTCGAGACAAAATATTTGTAAAAATAAATATCGCGTTTGACCTTGTCTTAATATTCATGCTTTACAATTTAGTCTCCCGATAATATGCTAATTTTCATTTCAAGGTTATTAGTTAAGTTTTGATGTAGTAAATCAATTTTTAATCATAACTTATCATTTCAGATAGCCATATCATAAATCAATTGTCGGTAAGTTGATAAAAAGATACCTCCTAAAAACACTCAGGTACTGTAGTATTTATTATGAAAATTTTGCACTACAACATTTATATAAATTAATTAAGAATCACGAGTATTATGCCATATTTTTCTCTAAATTATTTTAATTCAAAAAAGTGTGTTTTATGTATTCATGATTTAAACAAAGGGATTTTTATTTGTAAGACATGTAACCGAATTGACGACATATGATATTTGATTTCACTTGGGTTGCAATAATTTGCGATTTTTTAATTTTTATAGAGTTATCATGGCACAAATCCAACGTTAATTGCACATGATCATGCACGATTATCTTCAATTTCGACTAATGACTGCACTCAGGATTTGCCATAACGATTTTGAGGGCGATCCTCACACTCTAAAGGTTTTGTTTTGAGTTCTTATAACATTTTCCATAATTTATTTCAAACAAATTGTCGGTGCTTCTCTCGCGTGACTCTATTTTAGATATAAAACACATTCAACAGTTTTAGTTAAATATATTGATTGATTATTAAAAAAAAAAAAAAAAAGGCCAATAATGAACTCCTCCCGTGGTTTTAATTTAAAGTCTCGACGAATAGGTTGGATACTTGAAGTGCAATCATAATAAGGGTACTGTATCAATAAGGTCTATGTGTGTTATAGAATCTAAATTATCTCTACCTGAGCAGTGTATTACCCTCAAAGGAAAAAAACAATTTCGAAATGATTCATTTGTATGAGAATTCCTTTCATACAAGTCGGGTAAATATTTTGTCTCTTTGGGCTCGTGAGAACAATCAAAATTCCATACCGTCTATTCACCCGGGTAAGTTTGAAACGTGTTTGCACCCGATTTCTTGGAATTGCGGGCCCTTCGAACATAGAAGACTTGTTTACATCAATGAAAGTGAAACCGGATCTGCCTTATAGCAGACGAGACTACTCGCAGACGACCTTACCGCGAGCCTCACTATTATTTTTTCAAGGTTTTTTCAGTGCTCATAGCGTTCATTCCCATTAAAACGGTTTTAGTTTTTATAATAGGCGCGCTTGAATTAGTTCATACATTTCTACACATTTACACAGATATACAAAGTATTTACGTGTTAATACTGTATTTTTAGTCATACGAACATTGTTGTCATATGCATAAGACATCTATTTAAAACGCAGCTCAAGTCTTCATTATGTTGATTGTTATTTTGATTCAATAATTATATTAAACTTATAACATTCCAACATCAAATATGAAATAATTGTCTTATAAGTTAAGCATAATTTCATTGCATACAAGTATTAAGGGTGATTTTATTTTATCATAATCCTGTAAACCTAAAAAAGAACATTATGTAGAATACGTAGAAGTATAACACAGCACGAATTATGTAATTCTAGAAACGTTAATTTTTATATTTATTTTATGAAAAATATATTTGCAACTATAATATAGGCTCGATTTCAAATTTCGAGGCTAACTACTTGTTTAACAAACTGGACGATTTCAATAAATTCATCTGCGTAAGCTATTTTTTTTTTTTTTTTGTGATATGTCTTCTTGAAGTATTATATAGTGTCATACACGACTAACTCTCCACGTACGAAGCCTTGATGTGTGTGCATTTATTATTCAAATTTGCTGTTGATCATTCAGATCAATGTTCTATAAACCTTGGACAATTTCATTCACCTTTATTGCTCAATAATACTCAATTTTTTAATTATAAATTTATTTCCTGATAGCAGTTAAAATTTTGTTGTCATTATTGAATGTTTAAGTACAATTAACAGGTCAATAAATTTATCAACGTTTTTCATGGTTCTTTTTTTTCCATGATTTAACATATTTTAAAGAAATCATTCTTGACTATACAGTTTATATTCAGTTCAATAAAAAAAAAAACTTGTGTATTATATCACCGACCGTCTGAAATATTGATATTTTAGTCGCATATATTGACAACAATGATTTTAAAAAATTGTACAGCACAACACAATAATAAATTCTAATAAATACGGTTAGGCATACAGTATGTTTCAAAGAAGTCACGTGGAAGGTTCGTTTCGGTTCACTTCGTTCTACAAATATTGATCATTGTGCCTTAAAGTAATGTATACTCAAAATCAATTAACACACTGAAATTCTATTTATTTCGAGAGTTATTAATATATTGGGTTTTTACATTTATAAATAGTAAAATTATTTATTGATAAGTTATAAAAATAATTGTAAGTAGCCTTTAAGTATTAATCTTTACGATTATAATCTACCTAATATTGCTTTTCTACGACCCGTAATATCTATACTTTAATGCTATTAGATCTATTTAATTTAAACAAAAATGTCAAACCAACTATTGGAACTAATGCCGTCTCAATAACCAATGTTAAAAATTATTACTTAATAATTATAAATGAGGTTAATCGCGGTAAGAACTGTAAAAGATGCACTGTCTACGAGTTAATTTTGATTTGTGACTTGTAATTATCGAACATCTCCCTTCAAATTTAAGTATTGATTAAGTTATGATCATAATTAAATGTTTTTAAATATAAATCATACTCACGTACTTTCGAGTAAACTACTATCGATTGATTCTGAGGTCAACGACAAAATCACCAATAAAAAACAAAGCTGCAACAGAGATTACTTTTATATAAACGCAGCATTTAAAAATTCATAAGATTTTAATTAAAAGTAAAATTAAAATCTTTGAAAACTAAAAACGATTATTAAAATGAATAAGACAATTTTTATTTAGTATAGAACAACATATTTTTAGTTCTATTTGTTCTGTCACATCTTTTTAATAGTAAAATTATAAATAAAAACGTATGGATTATTAATATCAATTTCAATATTTCAAATTATTAGTATCAAATATAAACAATAAATCAATAATAAAATAATGAATGGACTACATTAAGTCAAGTAAACATTCGGACACCGTCTAAAAAAAATAATTTGCCCCTCGAACTGTTAGCGTATTATAGACCTCTAAGTATGGTCAACACTCTTAAAAAAATGCTTCAACGAATGATTAAATTATACTTAAATATCTGTAAGACGATGACGATTCAAATAACAAATTATTTTTTTAGAAGATGTCCGAATAATTACTAGATTAACTGTATATTATCTTATTGGCGTAGATTAAGAAACATTTTTTAGGTACAAAAAATGCTAACAACTGTTCCATCCTGTTTCTATATAAATCATCTAAGAAATAATTTTTTTGAAAATGTTATTTAATTAAAATTTCTTGAGTCGTAACATATAAAAACGAAAACGTATTTAATAAATGGTCATTATCTGAAATTTTGAGTATAAATAATAAATATAAAACAAATTGACTATGGTCAGCAAACAAAAAAAACATACCTACTCTCGACACCATGATTTTGCTCTCGGTTAGACCGTTATATATTTTTTTAATTATTTGAGACTTATAGTTACCAAACTAAATTTATACATTGAATGCAGACATGCCACATTAATATATTTTTTCCCTCGTGTTGAATCGACGCTAACTCCTCATAGTTAGTGTTACATTTAAAATAAATGATCAGTAATTAGCATTCATAACACCACAATGATTTGAAGGAATATTAAAACTAGGAGTAATTACTTTTATATTTTTTTTTACAATTGTAAAGTTGAATTAACACTTGACAACGTCAACTAGAATAATGATTGAATTTAAAAAGGGTAAGTGACCCAATTCTTGTTTTTTTTTTTTTACTAAGAATTGTTTAAACTGTAATTTTATAAAAATTTAAAAAGTTATCTTCATTATGAATAATTCTCAGCATTTCTATTGACCTATCAATAAGCACACGTTTTATTATAATCAATATGTAGCTAAATAAATATATGTTTTAGGAGACAATTACGATGATATGGTTTTCATCAGTAATTTTAGCAAGTATACTAATTTTTATCATCTATTTATGGTTGTCTAAAAGTATTAGATTGCCGGGCCCATGGGGATTACCGATATTGGGCTATTTACCATGGTTAAATCCATCCAAACCATATAAAACGTTTGCAGAGTTATCACATAAGTATGGACCAGTGTACAGTATACAAATGGGAAAACATTTAGCTGTAGTATTAACTGACCCATTGATTGTAAGGTCAGCATTAGCAAAAAATGAACTATCGGACAGAAGTAATTTTGAATTTATTGATGAAATTATGCAACAACACGGTAACTAACAAAAATTCAAAAATTTTTTTTTGCATTTTCAATTATTGTTAACATTTTAATACAGGTATTATATTTTCAAACGGAGAACTTTGGAAAGAACAACGAAAATTTGTTATCAATTGGTTAAAAACTATTGGTATGAAAAAGGTTGGAGAAAAAAAAAATAATTTACAAAAGATGATTATTGACACTGTCAAATCAGTTATTTCTGTATGACATCAATCATTAAATAATAAATAATTTAACTTTAATTTACTTAATTTGATTTTACAGGAAATGCGAAAATCTAATGATAAACCATTAAGCGTTAAAAACTTATTGTTATTATATTTGGGTGACTTTATGAACTTAATAGTACTGGGAAAAAGTTGGCCAGTAAAACATCCTACGTGGACTTATTTGCGTGACTTAGCAACTGATGGTTCTAAAAAATTTGCTATTGCCAGTCCATTAAGTGTATTGCCTTTTCTTCGGTTAGACAATTGTAAAATTACCCAATTTTTAATAAATAATTAAAAAATAATTGTTTTGTCACTTGATATAATAGGATAATACCAAAGTACAAAGATGCCGCCGCGGATGTGTTAGAGGGCTCACGAGCTACTCATAATATATACCAACAGTTAATGAATAAAAGAACTGACGACGATTTAGACAAATATGAAGATTTGATATCGGTATATTTGAAAAAAATCAAAGAAATGAAGAATTATGATCAGCAACACTATTTTTCAACTAAACAATGTACATTCCTATCAGCTGATATTTTTGGAGCAGGAGTTGAAACCACAAGTGATACTTTACAATGGTTTCTCCTTTACATGGCTCTTAATAAACAAATCCAAGTAAAACTATAAAACAAGACTTGATTAACCCTTAATAGTTGTGATAAATTTTCAATTGTAATTTTCTTTTTTAATCTTTCCTCTTTTAAGTAGAATGTGTTTTCAAATAATTCTGAAAAAAAGCTAACTTTTAATTTATAAATAATTTAACTTTTTATTTTTCAATTTATTATAAAATTTAATTATTTTCTACGCGTAATTTGAAATAATTCCTCCGCGGTTTGATCATAGCACCAATACATTTTTTTTTCTTTTATTTAGAACGAGCTACATAATCAGTTAACAACAGTTTCTAGAAACTGTGAAATAATTGATTTGGAAATGATAGATGATGTCCCTTATTTAAAAGCGTGTGTCTATGAATCGATGCGATTGCGACCAGCGGCTCCAGCCGGAATACCTCGTACTGTAAATAAAGAAGTAATTATTTCAGGATATCACATTCCAAAAGACACAATGATTATACCTCTGATATGGGGTATGCATCATAATGAGAAATATTGGCCAAATCCCTCCCTATATGACCCTTCAAGATTTATTGATAGTGATGGAAAAATTATAAATAATAAAGCGTTTATGCCATTCCAGGCAGGTGCGTAAAACTTATTTTTTTAAAAATAAAAAATATTTATAGTTATAGAAGTAATTTTGTGACTAACAATATTTCAGGTCAAAGGACCTGTGTCGGTAAAATATTAGCTTACTGGATAGTGTTTTTATTTGGTGCCAATATAATTCACAAATTTGAAGTATCTTTAGATAGTTCATTATCAGAAGATGAAATAGAAACTATTATGGATGGCGATTATGGAATAACTCTTGAGCCTGGATTGCATAAGCTTATATTTAAACCTCGACAGAATATATAAATGTATTATTACTTCCTAAAAATATTGACTACAATTTCTATTAGTAGAAATAACAATGGTCTATAAAATTTAGGTTTATTTCTATCGTTATAACTAAATTTTAACACTGATTTTAAATCTGGATTGGGATTAACTTAAATTATCGCCTTATTGATTGCACTTTCGTGATTTTGAATCTAACCAAAGTAAATTTCGGTTTTATATTTTGAATTCCCTTAAGGATTAGATTAAATTGAATAGATTAATTACACATTTTAATAAAAATCTCCAACATTTCAAGAATCAATATTCATAGTCATATGAAAAAAAGTTTCTCTCTTATTTTACTTTTTAATTATACATTTTCTATTAACAATTACCATAAAAAAATAAGTGAGGTCCATAGAAAAGTCCAGGTTTGAAAATAGTGTGAACATTTTATTATGATTTTTAATGAAAGTTCCTTAAGAACCAATTGTACAATTTTTAACAAATAATCTTAATAAAATTAATTTAAATTAAATTATTATTTATAACTAATCATAAAAACACATGGAATGTATTGGTAAATGAATCTGAAATCAAATTGCATAATAGAAATTTATTAGGTATATAAGCTTAAAAATTTAATGGATAATGTTAACTTTTTTTTTATAAATATATAAGAAAATATTAATTTTAATAGCTTTATTCACTTGGTATGCTATAATTTATAAAAAAGATGTATATAAACATACGTTTTGCATATATTTCGAAACACATTTGCGTCTGTAATATATATTACTAAATCGCATAAACTATAAATCTGTAAAATATATGATAAAAAATATTATGCGATACATAAATTTGTGATTCCAATCACTTCGCATAGCTTTAGTACCAGTGTTTTACCTGTCATGTAGTTAAGTAATGGAACATTTTTTTCAATATATATTCAAACACTGATGACGATGTTGTTTCGGCAATTTACTAATCGATTGTATGTTGTACTTTGCTGCAAACTATTTGGTTAGTGTATAGGTGTTCACTTATTTTTATTTATGCTTTTATAAAACGTTTTACTATCACAAATCAATATATTCTTAAATGAATATGAATATGATTTTACTTACCTATGTGATTTTCAACCGTTATCATCAGAGTACGTAATTTCTTGTAAATAAATATTTGAAATTACTTTGTATTTACGCAGTACAATATTACTTAAACAATTAGAGGATGAAGATAAAAATATAAGGCTTGCTGAAGGTATTTTAAAATAATATAAGGTGAAATGAGGTAAGTGTGTCTGCTGCATATTTACGTGATTATTCATTAAAAGAAATTTCATAAGAACGTTATGCTATTATCTTTTAACTGTTCAAATTTTTATGCTTGAAGCCTTCTTAAATTAAGAGTTATTAATTAAGTATCTACGTAGTCTGTTATCACTCGCTTGTAAAAATTTGTTACCGCTTGGGACATGGTTAAATATTGAATTTTTAATGTGATTGATTTCAAATAAACGTTTAACTTTCCTACTATCTTCTATATTTAACATTTAACAATTAAACATTTTAACAATAATTTATTTCAATGCGATTTCACATTTGCCCCAGTACATTTGTGTGCTGACACATGTGTGGGCATATTACTGGGGTAAGTGTCTCACACTATTAAAAGTTCGCTTGTATAGATCTTATTAATTAAGAATATTATAACTTGGATTATTTAAGAACTCTAATCACATAACCATTAAAAATAGTCAATAAATCAATTAAACATGAAACTTGAATAAATGACATTGACGTTAAACAAAATCCACAACTCTAATTTATTTTATATTTGTGTCAAATAATTTATATCATCGTTTATAATAGGCTCACTTATTTAAATAATTAAAAAATATTTAATAATATTGTTTAATCTACAGACTTATCTGTAACTTGTCCCTTTATTAGGTCAACTATGACCCTCATTTCTTTTTACTAAAGTAAGCACTGTTAAATTAAATTTAAATTTATTTGAAGTTTTTAGTATTGATGCAGGTACTTTGATCATTTTTAAGTTATTTATGATAATTATTTAACAAAGGAATAGTACACAAATAATTTTATGACCATTTAAGTAACAAAAAAGTGTACATACTCACCTTACCTTATGTAATGATAAAAATCTTTAGGATCAAATGTTTATTTATAAATAACTTTAGCCACCCTCCTGTGTTTGTAGAAGGTCGTCGAACCCATTTTTATCGACACGTGACTTCTGGCCCTTTTTTATTTCTCCCATGGCATCTTCAAGTATCTTACCCGTTACTGCCACTTTAATCATGTGTTAATACTAAAAGAAACCATTCATTAACTTTTTTTTTAATTAATTTACTTTTTTAAACCTTTATATAGTACTGCGCATTATCATTTAAAATAATATATTACTTTATAAACTATAAAATAAATAAAGAAATGAACATTTCCAGACAACGATAACATGATAACCCATATAACTGATCAGACCGGTCATGGATCCATTGAATGAATGCGTTACTCAGAGTACACCAAAAAACCATGTTAGTGGTCAGACAAATTGTTTTCCCGCCAAAATAATCCGTCATAATCGCTATCTTACTACTTGCATTATTGTAAAGGATACTTGGTATCTACGTTGTATTTTACACAACATTTAAAATATATTGTAGTTCATGATGAAGACTGAAGGCGAATAAACTAAAGTTTGAAATTAACTATATCATATCCTAAATTTCGTGTAAAAAATCTATAAATTGAAAATATTTTTAAATTTATAAATTGAACACCTAACCTTAGGGTAAAATGTTAAGTGATGAGAGGAGAAACACCTACCATATCTCAACATTAACTATTTCAATAGTCATAATATAGTCCATTTTTGTCACATTTTTGAGTATAGACTCTTTTATTGGTTTTTCCGATAAGCAATATTTGAAAATCTTACGGCTCTGAAAAAATAAATAAATTGAAAATCCCAGCATTTTGTAAATCATTTTGGGAAAAATCAATTCAATGATCTTTTAATTTTTAAATCTTGTCAGTTTTACCATCAAGTATATAACTAACCAACATAATTGATTGCATGATTGGTAATTATTTATCATTTATGTGATTAGATTTAAACATATAAATGATAAAAAAATTATTAAAATAAGTAGCATATCAGATTGTAATCTTTTTTTAAAAATTTTAATTATAGTGAAAACTAAAAAAGTAGTACAAAGATTACATAAACTTTATTTAACTTTGATGATTATTTAAAACTTAACAAAAAATTGTAACCATATACTTATACGTCGTTAGTGTAGCTTTGGATATTTTATCACACCTCTTGTCACTACATCTAAACCTAAATTAAATTAATAAATGGGTTATCACAGCTCATAATAGTTGTTGTGTGATAGTCGATTATAAAACAACATAGTATCTACTATGATTTATTTCTTAATCAAATCCAAGTTATTGAGTCATAGTGTGTTGTAATTGCCGAGAGAATCATTACATGAGCCAATGCATAAGGGAGATTTAATAGATTTGTTCATGTTTTTAAAGCAATATCATTAAAAATGTTCATAATGTATCTCGGATTTATACGAAATATAATTAATGTTTATAAATGAGTTTTTTTGTTTTATTTTAGTTCATTAAAAAATGTTTCTTAATCGATGCAAAAAAACTTACCAAATAAACTTGAGTTTCTTTACGATATTGATACATTATTAAAATCGCTTAATTCGAAAACAAAATTGCATTAATTGATTAATAACAAGTAATATAAATTAATTATGCAGTTATTACAAACATTTTAAGCTGTTTACATATAAAAGATTTTGTTGCAAGAAAACTAAGATGGATTCTTAGTCAAAAATGATTCATTTTTTGTAAAAATTTTAATAAAGAATCTTATTTATCTCAAAACTTTATAGTAAAAGAATCTAAAGTTAAACAAAAACAAAATTAATGACCAGTAGTTGTTTTTACACGTTTGATAAAATATCAGTGATCAATTAGGATAAGAATTTACAACACACTCTTATTTAGTTACTATATTTTTCATGTTAGTGTAATGTTTTCTTTATCTACTATCATAAGGTATCAAACTAAATGTTGTTTTATGTAACTGTTATTTTTTCATCAATAAACACTATTTATTAAACAAATAATTGTTTCAATCTCTTAAATTACTGATAATAATAATGTAAACACCACGGTGCTTGACGTCAAATTTGATAGGCACACGTTAATTAAAAATAATATATATCGGAATTCATTATTCTAAAATTTATTTTAATAAAAACAATTTTTATGAAGTTACTCATTTATCATTATTCAACAAAGTAATACTAAATTGTAACTTATAATTATTTTTAGTTTACTTTGCAATAAACTGTCTTTTAATATTTAAATTGAGAAAACTTACGACAATAAATCAATAATTAACATGATGGCAAATTATTAAACTTTTGTGTTACTTGGGTTGCAGAAATATTCGCCTACATAATGAAAATAAAAATTTAAAAAGATAACTTTACTAATTTGTTTTTTATTTAATCATAATAATTAAAAACAACAATCCTTAATATTACTAATACAATATTAAAATGTACATTAAATACTTAATTATATGGTATGGCACTTAATTAACTAAATAACACAACAATAGGAAATCGCATAGATACTTCATTAAATACTTTAAAATATCATTATCTATATATAAATAATAACACGCTCGTCAAGTTGTTTAATTTTTTAAAATAAAATAACATCAACCGTTATTTAAAATAAAAATATTATTTTATACAAAAATAAAAATAAATAGTAGGTAGGTGTAGAACGTTGCAAAAAAAATTTGTTTAGCATTCAACAATAAATAAATGAATTTAATTCTACACTTAAGTAAAACAACTATACAAGACTTTAAGGGCTTAAAATAATAGTACTTAAAAATAGGTAAAAATAAATATTAACACATAATATAATATATTAAAATAACATTACATAATGGTACTGTGGAAATTAAAACAGGAATATTCGATCAAATAATTATGATTCGACGAAAAATTTAGAGGAACTGAACAAATAGCCGCAATAGTGAGCCAAGATTTTATTATATATTTTTATTACTTGGTTCGCCTCTTCATGACCACTTTGAACGATAATGGAGTAAGCGTGATACCAGCTTGGCTATCCATACTAGGTAAATCATCACCTTCCGGTAGACACACGTCAAATTCGTGTAACATGTTGGAAAAGAATAGGTATAATTCCATTTGAGCCAACGTTTCGCCCAAACATTTTCTCCTACCTGTTATAACAAATATTATTTAATAAAATTGACTCTATATAAAACATTTTAATTAATGTAATGTGTATTACTTACCAACTCCGAAAGGTAGGAAGCAGTCTGGTTTTTTTACTTTGCCTTCTGCATTTATAAAACGTTCGGGTTTAAAGGCCTCTGGCTCATCCCAAAGGTTGGGATCGTTATGCACATAATGTTGCAACGGTATGATCTGAGCACCAACTGGTATACGGTAACCACTTAGAGTAACTTCACTAAAATAATTGATAAAATAATTTAATAATTTTAATTATTGTTAAAGCGATTGTAGGATAAATAGAATCTTACCTGGTTGTTGCATGTGTGGTTCCCAAAGGAGTGATACTAGATTTACGGAGTACTTCATACAACGTTGCTTGAGTGTAAGGTAGTTGAGGATAATCATCCAGTACCGGTGACTTGTAACGTCCGACTACGGAGTCGATTTCGTCTTGAACCTTAGCCATCACTTTAGGATAATTTAGCATATAGACCATTGCCCAAAGCATTGTGTTTTTAATGGTTTCCATACTAGACGAAAACAAGTCGCCGAGAATTTGTTGAATCTGTCGGTCCGGGTCTAAACCTTGGAAAAGTTGACCCATTGTACCAGTGTCCTCTGCATTTTTTATTTCTAATAGGTAAGCATCTACTAAGTCTCTTATTGAGTCTGAGTCGAACGTGCTTCGGTGTTCATCAATGATAGTCTGAAAGTAGTCGGCCATTTCACGTCTGTTTTGACTGAGTTTTTCTTGGATCTTACGCTCGTCTTCAATGCATCTTCTAGGTGAAAACATACTGACCGGTCTCAACATGCCGAACAATTTAAAGCCTTCATCTACCATTTGCATGTATCGAGCGAATCTTGGATCGTCCGATTCAAAGCGTACTCCCATCGTTACTGAACTAATAACATTTGTGATGGCCAAGCACAAAGAACCCGCATTTAAATCAATCGGATTGCCACATGTTTTATGGAACGTATCTATCAATGATGAAACTTCAATCTAAACACGATAGTAGATCGAAATTAGCTTAATACATCGAATCGAAACAAAAAAGTTTGGATACGTTTGGTAGTACTTACCATTATCCTGTTTTCCATGTTCAGTCGGTTGTGACCAGTAAATGTCATACCCATGTGTCTGAGCACCAAGTGCAAAAATTTCCTCTGAGATTCCCACAGCTTTCCCGTACTATTGACAGCTCCTAAAATAAAGTAAAAATATTTAACAATATAATTACATGTCGGGTAGATATGAAAATGGCAAGGTTTTTTATTTTACTTTTTACTTTACGGTAATTATTCGCGTACGTGTGCATGTGTGTGCGCTCGTTGTGTAATAAAGTCGTGGGCCACGTGATTATTTAATAATTAATATTGTGCCGGCGTTTAGTATGTCAAAAAATTGCGACACGGTTTTAAAATATTCAACGTACGCGACAGCGGTACCCTGAGGACACGTATATAATATTTAAACGAATAAAAAACGCATCAGAGAATGAAACGTAAAACATATGAGTTCAATGTTACCAGTCTGAACCGCGTTAATCGAATATCAAAAAAAAAAAAATCATTAGAGATCGTTTAATTTTTAAAATACTTACCATATCCACCAATTATATCCATGTAACCATCGCTTGGGCGACCGGTGATCTGCTTCATGTCAAAGGCAGTTTTGATGAGCCTATGGTCACTTAACAACACCACTGTATTACCCCGTAAAGTGAACGAGCATATGGGTCCGTAACGTCGAGCCAGCTCGTTGTATTTCAAGTACGTACTGTGGGTGGGCAAAAAAGGCGCGTATCCGAGAAACGGTACACCCCACGGTCCAGGAGGCAGCATTTGCGCAGCTCTCAACTGTCTGTACACCGAATAGGTCAAACCCAACGTTGTAGCCGCAGCGTTTAACCACAACTCCCGAGAGTAGGCATCGTTTTCCACCATGGTCTCGGCCATTATAGGCGATTGTATGCAAACGAAAAAAATTAATAATGTTTATTAAAAAAAAAAGTTTTTACGATAATTGTTATTGCAATGCGTCGTCAAAACGAAAAGCTTCAACGATATACGCGTAATCGAAAAATGTTGTGTGAACACGTTGTTTTTCGCGGGAACCGCGTGCGACCGCATCGGCCAGTTAATTAGTTGGGATCACTTTTGAAAATAGTCGTGGGAGAGTACGTCTTTTGGTCTTTTATAATGTGCCGGGGTGTTGAAAGCCCATAGTAGGGATATACGTGTGTGCGCGCGTGGTTATTTTTTTTCTTCCTTTTTAATATATATTTTTGTTGTTGTTTTCTCTCACTCTATCTGCCCGGGGTATTACGGCATGTGAAGGAGGAGCACTCACACACGTTTTCCTTCCTTTTTTTCTGTCCCTACTCCGAGTCGGCAGCCGCGGTAGATTTCGCTAGGGCCGTCCGTTCTCAGACAGACGCACCCGAGCGTTGGGCTGGCACAGACAAGTCTTGGGTCCTCCCAATATGACGACGCGCCCACAACGGATCGAACGTAATATTGTACACATCATATTATCGGTTTACAGTTTTATTCATTTTTTTTACTTTAATTTTAGTTTTCCTTTAGATTTTGCTCTGCTCGCATGCTAACTAAATTCTTCGAAGAATCTTCATACTTCTATATATGTATGGTATGTTTCATGTTTGGTCAGATCCTATAGGATTAAATAAATTACTTTACTTACCATTAGAAAACTGATTTCTAAAAATAAAATGACAATAACAATAACAATGATAAAAATTTATGAAACCAGATCACCTGGGACACCAGAAACGGGCAAGTCAGAACTTTCGCTAACTACAATTACCGATCTTATTAGCAAAAACTAGTACATGATTATTACTTTGTTTTTGTAATAGTATGAAAACAAGCATTCCTATTTCAAGTTATTAAATATATCATTCGACGTCCGGTTCATATATTATATTTTGGCATTCGATCATATTTGTTTTCTCGTTCAATACCACAAATAATTAATTACGACCTTTCCATACTGTGGTTTAGAGCTTTCAATCGTACTCACACCAGTTAAAATTGTCATTCGTCATTTAACCATACAAACTTGGAGCAATAAAATATATTTTTATACTTCGTAATTGTCATGAAAATTTCAATTATTTTTTAACATTTTACAATCACTATAAACCATAATTATAACCGATAATATAATATAATATAATATTAATCCGATAATTTGTTAAATGTTTTCAAAATCAAACTATAAGACTTAGCATTTTTTTTTTTTTTTTACATTTATTGAAAAATTTTATCATACAAGTAGAAAGAGGATTGATTAATAGAATGTTAAAAAAATCTATTTTCAGAAATAAAATAATTTTTAATTTACTGTTTGCGTTCGAGGCCAACGTAATATATGATAAGAATAATGCATTTTATCCAAAAAAATTATCGTCGACCATGAATTGTTCTACGATTACAAATGCAAAATTATACATTTAGGATGTTGGTACATTCTCCAGACATACATCTCAATTTGATCACCACATTGTAACTTAAACCTTATCAAATGACATTGTTTATGTAGTATAAAATAGTGAAATATTAGATAAATATTTTATTGTTTATTAATTTTATTTTGTGTTCAAAGTATAATATTGTGAGTATTGTGAAAGGTAAAGTCCAAAATATAGCTAATTAAGTAAAACTATTCTCTTTCTTTATTTACGAAGCGATCAAGCATAAGAAACGTGTACAAATTTTCTAATCAAATGCATCCAGTAAATTAAATAAACAACTGTATTAGAGTTATCTTAATAATATGGTAATACCCAATAAGATTAGTTAAAGATACTAAGATTATTTGTTAACCTTTATCTCGTTGAGTTATTTCCAGAACAAAATTATAGATAATTGTAGAATGAAATTAAAACAAAATAACATTAATTCTTATCAATTAATTATGATAATCATACATTAAAAAAAAATGAAGAATATAATTTTTAGACAATATTTATATATGCCTTGGATACCCTGAAATTCTACAGACCCTTCTAACATTTGGTTTGCATTGAAAGTTTATATATACCTGAATTGACCAATATTAAATCAAAAGTTTAGACAGTATTGATGATTGAATTCTCTAATTTTTTTGTATTAACTATTGTAAAATAGAGACCTATGGGCAATCTTGAGTCTAGTTGTTACTAATATATAGTCAAATATCTTTAATAATACGCTTTCATTCTGAGAAAATTAGAACGAATATAATTTTAAAACAATAATTAGATATCTTCATTTTAATAAATTACACTGCTCAAATGATCTGAAAAAATATAAACAGTGTACATGTAATAATCTCATTACAATTTTAAATGTAGTTATATAAAATAATTTATCGATTTTATAGTAATATTTATACTTTTTTAATTGGACACATAATTGATAATACTTTTGAATTCTTTTAAAGTGAATAATTATTAATTTCATTAACTTTTCCACCTCAACAATTATTCTTAAGAGATTTCATAAGTTATAAAAAGTTTTAGCATAGGTTAAAAATAATATTTTAAGGAACTTTATTCATTATTAATGACTTTTTAATCACGTGCTTTCGCGAAATAGTTTTAACAAGTTAAATTTTAAAAATATTATAAAATAATTTTGTTGATAAAGTTTCCAATGAAAGAGAGTATAACTGAAAGTAAGTTGAAGAAACAAATAAATTTTTAATTATTCATTTTGATGCATACGTTTGAAAAAAAATACTCTGACGATGTTGAAAACTAATTTACTCTTTATCATATATTTATTGCTGAGAATCAAAATTTAGCGAACATATCACATTTAAAACTTTCAGTAACTTCTATTTATTTGACCTCCAACTAGCATCTGCTTAAAATAGTTGATGATACAAAAAAAAATGATCAAAGTTACATTGACCCGAGACGTTGATTATTTATTGGCAAGAAAAGTAACCCTCGACGTCGAATTTGAATAAAATTAAAGAGAAATGTTTTTCAACTTACTTTTTATAAAGATAATTAGGTTCAACTATCAAATTAGGATGTTGTGAATGAAGTAAAATGAACACGAAAAATCAGCTTGATTTCACTGTGATCAACAGTCAAATGCACGTGACAGACAAAGCTGTACTTATTCCATTTCTCTGTGCAATGTTAAATTCGTACTATTCACAAACATGACGCGTGTGCTAAATAAAGGCCGTACAATGACAAGTACGTCATTGAATAATATTTATATCCATTTATACTCTTATGTACATAATATATGCACATGGGTATATGTGCGTAAGTATATTATTCTTCTAAAGATTATTACTTTTATCACATTAAAATGTCCCAGTTTCACTTCCATTGTAATTAAATTAAAAAACACATGATAAGTAGAGATACATAATATGTTATAACATCTTAGACATGATAATTAGTTTGATTTTGTTAAAAAACTGGGCCGTTCATGTTTATAAAACGAATCCTTCATTTGAATTGGTCATAATTCATGAATTGAATATAAAAAAAAATGCGCAGTTTTACTGTAAACATTTTTTTTATTAATGAATGGATTGCTCGAGATAAAGAAACAAAAGAATGAAATAACTCATTGCATGTAGACATTTGTTATTATTTTGTATAATAAACTTTTGTTGAGCTAACCATTTTGTAAACTTCATTTTAAATTGATTTGTTTTAAACTAAAAATTGAGTAGGTCATGAAAATACATTTGTATTTAAACTACTACCCATAAAATATGAGCTAACGTTAGTTAACTTCTAAAAATTGTATTTATTTTTAATAAAAGAAAAATGGTAATATTATTATTATAATTTTTCAATTCTAAAAAAGCTTAATACGTATCAATTCAATACAAGAATATTACTATCATAACATATATTGACATATACATATTAAACTTCATAATATTTTATACATTGATAAAAATCCTCTGTTAAAACCAACAAATGCATTACCAAATAACTTCAATAAACTTAATGTAAAATTAATTATAATTTTTTTGTTAATTTAATTATAATTTTTGCTAGAAGAATAAAAATATTATCAAATTAACAAATATTTTGTCAAATCAATAAAAAAAATTGGTTAAACTAGTAAAAAAAAATATTTTTTATTTTACAAAAATATTTTCAAACGTTAAATAATAAAAAATGTGTTGATTTTACAAAGAAATTTTTTCAGTGTTATAAATATAATAATAGTAATTAAATCTATGTAGCAATTAAGTAGTTTTTCATTGAAAATTTATGAGTACTACAATAATTAAGTTTGACTTTTAAGCATACATACTCAATTATTCAAAACATTTGATAATAGTTTATTACAATAAAATTTATCGTTACGAAATAATTACACAGCACTAACATCTTGATGGTTTTGGGAAACACGGTTTATATAATACTCATTAATTGGTTTTTTAACAATTAAAACCGTAAATTACTTTTAATAGGCAAACCAATACATTGTAACACCGGCAACCATTATCATTTATCAAAACAGTTTACAAATATTTGAAAGATGCTATTAATTAATATTTTGATATGTAAACAAGGAATTTTTTGTCGGAAAAACAACAATTTTTGGGAGATGTAACAGCTTATTAACAAACCATTCATACATATGACAGTTCATGGTCAAATAAGTGTTTATTTTTCGCCAATTAAAAATTATAATGTTTTTTACTAAATACCTTATTTTTGTTTTCGCTAAAATTTACTCTACTTGAAAATCAATTATGAGTGCAATATATTTGTATATAAATAATACAATTCATTATAATGATAATTAAAATACTTAAAACTAACAGTGGATCAAAGGCCAATTTTTTATTGCACTGCTACTTCTATAATATTGGAACGTGTAATACTCACAGCAGTATACAACAATCTATTGCGTAAAACATGCTACGTTTCAAGTGTTAGAAACTGCATGCAAACTGATCATGTCTCTCTAAATGTTTTACAGTGCTATTAGTTAACTATATGGAAGTTGTGAGATTTTTGAATATTTACAAGGTAATTTAGTCAACGGAAGGAGCTAATTTTAAATATAATTATCTATGTACGATTCAATAATGTATATTCAATTTTATGAAGCCTTCAACGTCTGCTAACAATTTTAAATAAAGGTGCAAATAATTACAAATAAAATAACTCAGTTATAAATTTTCCTTAAAAATCATTCAAAGTACATTCAAGTGTAAATATGGTCACTCTTAAATATGATTTCTATCATTTTGAATTAAAATAGTCAATTTATATTATAATTTTAAATCGCATTAGATGACTACTTTATACTTAGATTCTAAGAATTTTAAATGGTAACTTTATCGATAAAAAATTTGTCGAATCATATGAACTTTAATTTAGTTTTATGAGATATAATGTTTCTTATAATATGATAAAGCTCAATCAAATAATTAATATTACGCACAAACATCGTTGTTGTTTAATACAGGTGTAATTTTATTAATTACCAAACCCAATGAAATATAGTCAAACTATTATTTTATTAAATTAATATTTAGGTTAAGTAAATATATTAAAAATCACAAAGAGTTCAATTTCTTGTATCAATCAAGTCTACAGAGAATAGTACAATAAATTAAGAAAACAAAAAACATAATACCCCTTATAATGTATTAGACTGGTTAAATATCTATTTGACTTAATAAAATTGAAATCAAGGTAGTAGTAGGTTTCTTAAAACATTCTTTCTTAGTAATTTTTTATAAAAAATATTACTTGTTTAGCGCAGAAAATGTTTTCCTACAAGGAAAATTAAGCATTTATATTTTAATTCTATAAATATAACACTTAAAAACTAATTAGCTCTATAGATAACTGGTAGTATTTAATTTATATTGAGTAGCACAGTATAGTAGCAGCACTTGTAATCGTGTCAGCATCTAAATCTAAATATCTCGTACTGTTTTTATATTTTTTAACTTTGTTTTTATCTTATTTTGTAGTCCAAGATAATTTTTCAAACTACAGCAATGAATTTTAAATAAATTTAATATTATATGTCGATAAAAAAATAATTAAAAGCAGTTAAATACACATAATGTACAGATACGTGGTAAAATATATATATAGATTAGCGCAATACGTTTTAGTAAAACGTAAAAATGAAAGTTGTGAATCTTCAAAGTTCGATTCAGTTAATAAAGTTTATTATAAAATCAATAAATAATATCATGTTTTTATTTGCAATATAACTTCATACTACCATTAATTTATCATAAGAATGTACTCTTACAAAAATCATTTTCATTTTTTACAATATAAATGTTTTATTTAATGTTCATTTTATATGTAACTGTTGATACCTACTAATTTCCTTTTTAAAAATATTTATGTAGGGGCTATTATTTAATAATTATAATTTGATATTCATCAACTTTTACAATTAGAATTAATTTTAATACCGGATTTGTTTATTATTTAACATTTCATATAGAATTTAAATGATAATTCCTGAAGAGTTAAATATTAAATCTTAGCATGTTCCCCTAGATTACAACATATGTTAGTTCAGTTCATTATTTTCTTTTCAAAAAAAAAAAAAAGTTTTTCTAATTTTAGTTTTATATAACTACCGTTTCAAATATGCTTAAGTATATTAATCCGAAGATCTTACTACTTTTACGAATAACCCTGTAGGATATGCTCATAATAAGTTAGTTCAAGGTTTAAAAACGAATGATACCAAATGACAAACCATTATTTTGTTTTAAATGAAACACTATATCGAAGGCTTTTTAAAGTTATTAACTTGTGTTAATTCACATCAATTGTAATTATATTTCCTTCGCTTATTGTTTTATTTATATTACTATAAAACCTTGACGTCATATTCTTTGAGTAGAGCAATGATCTCAAATGTTTTACTATTCAACAATTCTAATTATATTATTCTAAACTTGTATGGATAAAATTTTTGGATACTATTTGATATTTATATTCAAAGTATGAATAGCATTTTTTGTTGCGAAAACTAGGTTTGTATTGGAAGGTCATTTTTACATTGCTAAATTATTCTCCGTTAGAAACTGATTTAAAATTAAAATTTTATAAAAGTGAATTTTTATGGGAGCTAAAATAAGTTTTCAAATTGAAATACTCAACACATTTTTTTTTTTGTTACTGTGGTTTAAAACTGAAAATTATCTCTTCAGCAAGAAGTAGCTCTTAAAATTTAAACTAACAAACAACTTTGCATCCCATCTTATAATATTGTAAAAACTTAGTTAAATATAAAATAGTTTTTGATACAAAAATTAATTTTTTTCAGTCTTGCCAATCTTTCTTTTAATACTATCATAAATTACAACCTTTAAAAAATGTTAAAAAAAAGAATAGTTTAACATAAAAATCTTGCAGTAATGCATTTCGTTAATTTGATGTTTTATTGCTGAGTTTGTTAACCTTTAACACATTGTTTATAATTACACAGATACACAAAATTATGTATACTATAGCTATTAAAATTTGCTTGTGATAGCTGCACATGACTTAAAATGTATACTTTAGTTGTCATACCAGCATGTCTACATTTTAGTTAAATTTTCTAAAAATAAATAAATAAAGGAACCGAATTTGTTTTAATTTAAATTCCAATTCAAGTTAGAATCGTTTTTAATTTTATCCATTTGAATCTGAACTATCCCAATAACGACATGCGACACGGCATCTTTTACAGTTTTCGTAAAAAATTTACATCGACCCAATGGCCTCTAAAATGTTATGTTAAAACATGTTTGGCTTAAATAATTTTTAGGCTACACATTCTTTTCATCACTTTACAAAGTCAAAGTGAGGCCACAACTTGTTTTCATTTCTGTACACACATTTTTTGAGAAATATGTTTATAGCTTAATGATACAAATTAACTTTAAATGCATTTTTGAGAAATAAAGTTTTACATTTTTACTGTATAATTAATTCTAATAATTTATGATAAAACTTAAATTATCTTTAAATATTTATATAAATGAATCAAATTTAAATTAGATAATCTTTAATTTTTTTGCTGCTTGAAATAATTAAAAATATAAAATAACATTTTTTTTTATTGAAGATAAATTGAAGTAAAATGTTTTGTAAATGAAAAATTATGGGATTTGTCTTAATATCGAAAATCATTCTGTTTCTTTATTTACCCAAATAAATTAAATGTATTTAACAAACAATTATTACTGTCCGTTTGTTTACAATCTTTAGTTATATAATCAGTGGCGCAACTACCGTGGTTTCCCATTATTTCAACTAATTATTTTTATAAATATATATGCATTACTAATTATATTCTTATTTTGCATTACGTTTAGATTATAGCAGTCAAAATCGTCATTTTGAATATATTGGGATATTTCAATATTATATCATCTTTCAACGACAATCCTTAGCCAGTTGTACATACATTTATAAACCGCTATTATTAAATGCAGTTATTGTACATTACACCATCTATATAAAGTGGTTGTATTGTGGAGTTGTTGTTAGAGTAGAGCCCTTTACAATTTTGTGAGCCTCATAAAATTTTAGCACCTCTTGGATTTTTGCTCTAGTTGTGCCACTGTATAAAATTAAATATACATTTCAATATTATTTCCTTGTTTGTAATTGTATGATTTAAATCAAAATTAGTATTAAAAAATAAGAGAACAAACCTTTTATCGTTTTTCTGAACTAGATGAATTGGAGTTCTGCACAACCATGTGGATCAGTTTCATCGGAAATGAGTCAAAATAATAAACTATAATGTAACATTTGCTGATGGAACCCTGAAAAACGAATAGATGGTCAGATCCCCTTCTATATTAATAACAAATATTTGACAATAATTAATGAGCATAACTATAAATATTTTCGTAAACTATTAATGAATAACTATTTTAACATTTCCTAGACATTAGAATTATCTAAAAATTAAAATATCTAAGTATAGAGTCTAGGCTTACGAAAATAATTTTCCAATTTACATCAATATTATTACTTGGAATTATACTAATAAATATTAGAATTAATAATTATTAAAATTATTAATTAATAATTTTAAATAAATTATTAATTAATAATTTTAAATAAATTATTAACAAATCTCACAGGAAATTAAAAATCGAAAATTAATATAGATGCACTGTTACCCTAAAATTTTTTATTTTACTCCGAAGATAAAATAAATGTACAACTGTTTATGTATTATACACTTTAAAGTATATTTTATAAAATTTTCTTTTAACGCATTTTTTCTTTTTGTGTTGAGAATGATTTGTGAGTAATAATTATTTCATCTAAACTCAACATATTATTTTTGTTTTTGTTAATTATCCGAATATTACCTAATCATTACATGTGTAAATTTTATGTGCGATTGTAGTTTTTATTCTCGATAAAAAATACTTTGTGAATTATTAAAAAAATCTACAACTTTGTGTATCGCCCTTTGTACCTGTAATCATAAAGGAAGTTGCGTAATCGAATATAATTATAAAGAAAAAGACATACGAATTTGTGAAAATAACAAATTGAATTTTAAAACTTCCACAGACAGTGAACAGGCTATTTGACTTGTTCAAAACATTGAGGTATTTGTGTTTTAGTAATCGTCACGTGTTCTTGGAGTTTTAATCATATGCAAAGAAATTAAAAATTAAAAAACACATTTGTTAAAATGTAAAAATTAATTTTTGATTGTCTTGTATCGCAACACATTCAATCGATTAGAAACGATGAATTATTTCTTCAGTTATCTCAAATGGTTTTAAAATATTTCCGCACAAAACAATGGTGATTTTTTTCTCAATTTATGTTGTAGATTTTTCCCTCCGAAAAAATGCATTTTATGGACACCTGCAATCATTTCGATGTTTACAAACTCCGAAATTAATGAATAACTTGCAGTCACTACACTTTAAATAACATATTCTACGACGATGTTCGAACATTCCTACAAGTGAACAAAATGTCATGCTGTAAAATGAATGCGAGATGCGTCATTAATAGAGAAAACCCTCGGCATACTGACATTGAACTTGAAACGATTCAGATGAATCACGCGGCAAAGAATAGTTGTTGATCCTACCGACAATTACGTTTGTAAGAAAATTTAATACGCATTATATTACTATATAGTAGGCGTGCGTGGAAAAAATAAACATGACGTCATTTGTTAGCGTCCCGGCAAATACTGCAGATACAACGTGGATTTTTTTAATGCTCCATCGTCCGTTGCCCCGTCTCGTTAGGATTTTACCACGTCATCATGTTGTTATGAATGCGTTGTAATACGATTTGTTGTTGATCCAGTGAGGGTGGTAAACTCGTTTACGTTCAATTATGCAAGTGTGAAAATCAGTCAAAATTTAACGAAGGAACACAATTAAGATTTAAATTTAGACGAAGGTCAAGGTAGTTGGGCGATCAATTTAATCACGTGCAAACACAAAAACAAAATACCTTTTTGATTTTTGAAATCGTTTAATACATCAAAATAATAATTAATACATCAAAATTAATAATAATGTAAGCAAATATCAAATAGTATGATTTAAAAAACACAATTCATAACACGTTTTTCTTGTGTGGTGTAAAAACTGAATTATAATATTTTATTAAATTTTGTATAGCGAAGATTTTTTATTTACTAAATTAAACAAATTGTCAATTGCATAAAATAATGCATGAATTATTTAATTTAGTAGCTGTATACAAATCAATACGAAACAGATTTTAATATGTCAAAAATATATCAAATATTATTGAATTACCATCATATGTTATTTTTATTTGCTTCTACTGTTCAACATGTAACATTAATAACCTATTTTGAGCATAATTTAAAATAGGTTGATTAATGATAAGTAAGAGTTCAAAAAGCTTCCCAAATAGATATTTTAAATTGACCTGTGCATCAGTAGTAAATTTTGCAAACAAAAAATATACGTACACACAATTACTGCAATATCACAATTTACTGTTGTTTTTCAATTTTTTGATATTACGTCATCCAATGTCAAGGTTAAATATTGGTTTTAGGTGAATGACATAAAAACAAAAGTTCCATAGTGAATGAGTTACACCTACTCCATTATACTCCAATAAATATATCCACTCAATACAATCATCAATTTTAATATTATTAATGAATCGCAATACAAAAAAACATGCTTTGAATATTTAAACACTATTGTTTATGTGTATCAGAAAATTTTCTAAAAGAATTAAATAAATATAACTTTTTTTTAGCATTTTCATTCTTTAGAAAAATAAGTCAACATTACAAAAAATAAACTAACATTAAATCATTTTATTAATGCCAAATACATAATATATTGTGAGAACATGTATATTAGAAAAATATTTTAACTGGCTAATTTAAAAATCCAACATACACTTAGAATACTAGAAAAACTTTATTTTCGAATAAATATCGAAGTCTATTATTATGAAACCAAAATCTTCCATTTGGTAATATCATCCTTTTAAGTTTCTCCTTCATATTACAAAAGATAAATCCAAAAATAATGATAAAATGCCTTTCAAAAACTATAATCCTGTCCCTTTCTTAGCAGTTATATAGGATTATATAGTTATAGAAGGTTAGGCAAAACATCCCAAGCAATAGAAGAAACGCATTTTAATATGTGCCAAATTACAAATTTCTGAAAAATTATGCAATAGCTGTATTTGACATTTTTTTAAGAATACTTTGGCGTTTCACTTGACCGTGTTCACTGATGGTCGACCACATTTTATTCGCAAAACATACTCACACAGTATTCATACAGCTATGCAATTCATAGAGAATTAGCTCTGATTAATGTAATTTTTAGACTCGGTTACATTAATATTTCACTGTATGTGATCTAACTAGAAATAGAATTTATTTGTATAAATGCTATAAAATGTATTATTTTTTATTTTTTAATGTTTTTTTATAGCTAATTCGATATAAAAAATATCCTTTTAAATCCATATATTTATTAAATTTTTATATATTAATTGATTACAAAAGCGAAAAATTTATCCAAGCTTACCAATATAAAATTGCTTAATCATTATCTTATATGCAAAATTAATTGAAATAACTTTCAATTTTTATACAAATTTGTTTTAAAATTACCATGTTGTTGATGCTTGACAATTTTTAATACTATTTATTATGATCATCATTAATATTACAAAATTAATTTCTGCATGAATAATCGGTGACGTCTGAAAAATGATAATAAAATAGCTATAAATAAATTACATAATTTTTTAGTCACTTTAAGTAAGTTGAATAGTCAAAATGTATAATAAATAAATCATCATCGCGTAAATTATTAATGGCTTAATAAAATATAATTTAAGCTTACAAAATTATCTAAGAACACAATAATAGAACTGTTCAATAGAAAATAAAAAGAGTAGAAAAACTTATTAAATGGTAATATTATAAATGGTAAGTAACAATTAAATTATTTCATTACTAATGCAAATCGTAATAAAAAAAAGAGTGTTTAAAAATGAAAATTTATTTTAGAGGGCAATTATTTTTAAAAAGATTTTAAATATTTGAAAATACTAAAAAGGAAGCGAGAATTGAATTAATGTAGTAATAACGGCTGATTTTAAAGAAATAATAAACATCAATAAAGTAAATAAAATCAATTTTTTTCATTAAAATCAACAAATAAAATTGATTTTGTGTAGTATGAGTTGATGTAAAAAACGATACACAAATTCAAGAAAAATTTGATTTACAGTGATAAAATATACCATTTTTAGATTAGATTTTAAATATAATATCTCAATATAAGTTAAAAATAGTATTTACAAAATAGAATATGCAATCTATGTAATTAAAATACAAAAACTAGTAATGAAGTTAACTGTGATGATAAAATAAATAATTGAATATTTTTATAAAGCGGAATTTATATTGCTAAAAATAAGCTAATAAAATATTAGTATGTTCTATGAATAAATGGATACTATAATTTACAATTACACGAAGTTTTTTTCATACCATAACTGGTTAAATACAAAAAAGGAAGTCATTTTGTGAACATTTAATATAACACAACACGATATGAATTCCAATATAAAAATCTCTAAACATAGTTCGTGTTAGTTACTTTCAATTATTAAAAATATCTTTATACTTCAAACTTACCCCTTCATTGTTAGTCTAATTGATAAAACTTTATAACTCAAGCATTTTAAATAATCAAAAACTTTATACCTTTTAGTGTTCTATTTTCATAATTTATCATGGCATAGTTTAAATGACAATCATAATTTAATTTGAGCACAATTTTTACAAATAAATTTGTATAATAATTATCAAAAAAAATGGTATGATAATTCATTGTATCTAGAAAATTTAAATTTAAATTTACATTATAATTAAATAACTTAAAAGCATATTTTAATCTTTATTAAACTCAAGAATTAATTGGTGTTATTAAACCATTAACTTTCTGACATTATCTGAATATACACGATATTCAAATATAGCGTTGAAAATAAATGTGAATATCATAAATGAAGATGAGTTTTTAACGTCGAATTCTTTATGATTACGAGGAAAATTTTTAAAAAATTTATTAACAAGACTTTACTTTAAATACCACCTATGGAGTTTTTTTTAAATAAACAAAGTACACTTATGTTTATTAAAAAAAAGTTAATCTTCCTAATAAATTGATAAGGATTATATGATATTAGGATATTCAAAATTAAAACGTCAAAGAAATTAGAATAAATGTAATAACAACTGTTTATTTTTTTTTCCTGTAATTAAACTATTAAATACTCAAGAAAATAAGTATAAAGGTTTATAAAAAAAGTTGTTGTTAATTTTAAACGGACGATAATCTACCATAATAAATAATAACTATTATGATCAGTATATTATTTTAATCGTATTGAATAGAACACTAGGTCATATTTATAGTTTATTTAACTCCATTTTGACGAATTTAACATTAAAGAAATCTTCGATACACAATTCAAGTTAGAATTCTTAAAAGCTAATTGTTATCCAAACAAGTAGCAAGTTTGTTTCGCTCTTGAGCTCGAAAATCCATGTTTTATTATTATTACTCTGTCAGTGTTTACAATGCAAACCACGGTCATGTGGACGTTTTTAAAATTTTTCATTAAATGGGTCATACTAAAGATAGAAATAATCTAATTACACAATACAATTAGTGTTTCATTAATAACCAATATCAAAAGTATATTATTTCAATAATATAAACATTTTAATTATTTACTTAAAAATTTAAATCCGTATTAATCACTGAATTCATAAAATTTGATAACTGAATTAATTTTACTGGATTTCATTATTTTAAATTAAGAAATTATTTAAAACATTTTTTTTAGGAATTTTCGGGAGTAAATAGTAGCCCAAAAAAAATTATTCTTCCAAGAAGTTCTAAAGATAAAAAAAAACTTTTTACACTAGACCCCAAATAATTAGTGATAAAATGCATAGAATTTTTGTATGAAATATGATGTCAGAGCAAGTGTTCTTAACACACAAATCAAATCAAAATAAATTATTTTCTCTTAAACAAGTTAATCTCTGAATCAAATTAAAACTGATTTTTAATACTTTTCCAACCGAAACCGTACACATAAGCAAATCGAACGGTTTCAGTCTCTGCTCTTGAGAAATTATAATTAATTGATACTATGTGTATGATATTGAATTTTTTAAAAATATCCTAATAACTCATAAACAAAAAAATTTAATATTTAGTTATCAACTAGTATAATAATAACACCAGACGATCTTAAAATATATATTAGAATAAAACTTCTTTAGGTTCGCATTAAATTTAAAATATATTATTAATAGCTATTTTGGAAAAATAAATTAATTTAAGGCTTCACTCATGTGGAATTTTTTGATCATACTGTAAATGTAGAGACACCAAAAACCTAAAAATCTCGACACTCCAATGCAATGCACCCTCAGCACTGCATATAAATTAAACCATAAAGCTCACTTACACTTTTCCTAATTTAAAAATGACAAGCCTATAATTCTATTTTTTAAAAAATAATTTTTAACATGTATAGATATTACTCTATTATACATATTCTATCATTCTAATATTTATACTTGATGATTATTAAATTATGATTCAAATAATATTTTTGAAAATAATAATAATAAGTTTGTAATATCTTACGTTCTATAAATTTCAAGAATATTTTTGTTCCTAACCCTCTCTTCCTGTTTAAAACATTACAAAATTTATAAAAACATATACAATTAACTAGCTAAAAAATAAAAAAATGATCCAACTATAAAAATTACTGCTTGTTGATTTGTAATAATAATTATAAAATTAGGTACCATTACATTTCTTAAAGTTTATATTGCTTAATCTTCTCATATTATAAAATACAGCAACTCAAAGAAGTGAAGGTTTAAAATAAGTTCATTTTGATTAAACGTATATCCAATAAAAAAATGATCAGACTACTCTTGGAAGTACAATTCCAAAATTAATTGTAGGGCAAATGTTATATAAAAACAAATACTTTTAATTTTTGGAAAAATATTTAAACTCAATACACTTGATTAAACATTTTAAATATTTACTTTATTTAACATTTTATTTTGTAAAAAATAAATTTTTATTTAAACATCCTTATTCCAAAGTAGAAAAAAATTCATAAAACATAAAATAAGAATGTTTTTTTACTTTTCATACATTTTACATTTAAAACTAAATATAATAAATAACACATTGTTTTAATTTGCTGAATCTTTTACATTTTATAAGTCAATTAATTAATTAATGATAATTTAATAAAAATAAACTTCTATTTTTATAATTTTTTTAAAAATGAATCAAACTTTCTTACATTAATGGTTTTTAAAAATAACTATGATAATATTAAAAATATTAATAATGTATTATTTTATACCATTATAAAATAATAGTTAATAATAACTCTTATTATATGTTTTCTATAAATTTAATACTAATGAGGTTAGAATGTAATAAACTTAAATTTAGATTTACACTCATCATTTTAGAAATGATACTTTATGGAATCTTTATAATTTTAAAGAACCAGCACTTATGGTTTAATATATTTAACCAAATTTTAAAAAATACATTATAAATTAACTATTTTTATTAATTTTTGAAGATAAATTATTAAAAGAACGAGTAAATTTTTCTCAATAATAATACTAAATAAAAACTGAACTACTAAATTACTAGTGAGAACTATTAGTGACTTTAAATTTTTAATTTATTAATCATATTTAAAAGTCATTTATCAACATCAACGTTACAAGTACACAACAATTTTGTAGTCTACAATTCTATTTAATACAAAACTAGCAATCTTTTTAGTTTCCATTAAAATAGATTTATAATTAATATCTATCAATTATAATAAAATCAATTAAATACTTTTTAAAATAAGAAGATTACACTTTTACTCCATTCATAAAAATTAACGTATAGAAATAAAGAACAAACATTTTATTACTTAAGTAATAAAACAGATAAATTTATCTGTTTTAAATTGAGCTGAAATAAATTAACATATGACCTTTAAAGTATTAAAATAATTAACATTTCATGTTAAAGTACATAGCCAATAAATAAGGCATATCAGTGTAAAAATTCTTGATTGAAAATGCAAATATTTATAAATATCATAAAGTTGTTAGCATTAATTTTCGCAAAGTCTAATTACTTTCTTTGTTAATTACATTATTTATAAAAATATTTCCATTGACACTAAGATTATACATAAAAATTACATCCAAATCTTTCTTAGTGAATTATGAAACTTAATCTTAAAATATTACTATCTTATAATTAATTTAACTATGTACACAATACTGTCATTTAAATAATGAAGTTATAAATTTGAATTTCATTGTTTTTAAAATTTTACCTATTCATGGAACTCCAAAATAAATCAAAACTCAATGTTTACAAATAATACAAGAATATTACTTTATAACTTAATTTAATAAACTTCTCTAAAATTCTTACGTATTTGGAATAATAAATTTTATTTGAACCATCGAATAATCTTGTCATCTAAAAATTCAGTAAAAATCGAGTTCAATGCACCTTGTTTTCATGTTAGCTTATCGATATTTTTTAACGGGACACCGTGAGTTTTGCACATTATTGCTGCCTAGATAGTTCATATATGATAAAGTTAAAAGAATTTTTTAAAGATAAATAAAATATGCAAAAACAATAAGTAAGGCGATAGTATAGAAGCCATGAAACATAGATCGTGTTAAAATTGTGTAATTTTTCTGCGCTTTATATCTATAGGCTACATATTTCTTGGCTGTTTGGTGTCTGTATAACTTGTGCTGTACATAGTATAATAGAATATAGGAGGTAATATTTATTATTCAAATACTTCCTTATTTCATAATATTCGAATGTTGAAGAATATAAAAAATGCACTTTGTATATTAAAGTTTTTTTTTGCTTAAAATAGTTATCTAAACACGTTCAAGATTATTTTTAACCATGATTTAGCACATTTTTATTGTACACAAGCTTTCCAATAGCCCTTTAATAAACCTTCTTAAAAAAAAAGTTTATTTTGAGTTTTTAAATAAAATTTTAATTAAAATTATTTTTTTTTGTATTACCCGAATACGATGAAAATTCGGTCGAAAATATTCTTTGATGATGTTAGTTAAATTCAGTTCCTAAACCGATTGTTGCACATACAAGCCGAATATCTCATGTATTGATATCCTATGATATGCAAACAAATATTTATATAAAAAACAGCATTTTGCCTGGGTTAATAGATGTCTAAGTCGGCTATGACTGCATACAAAATGATCGGTTAATCATAAACCTCTTAAATACTCGCAAAATTAATACAATATTGGAATAACGATTTTTTATTTTTTTTTAGTTATATATAATTCTTTATTTATCAGATTATAACTTAAATGGTGTAAACTTAATTGTTTAAATGGCAACATACATATTGAACTAGCCTATAAAATAGGAAATAATCTAATTAAGAAAATGGCTAGTCGATAGCAACTTTTGAACCAATACTTCAGAAGTTATTAATAATATAAACAACTGATTGAAGATGAGAAGTAGGTGCTGGTATTTTTACCACTAGTCATTTTCCGGTCGTACTCTTCGTCTCGTCTAGGTGTAAAATTAAGAATAACAACCAAAGTAAGTACTGGTCCAAATGTTGTTATTGACCAGTCACTTTCTTAATTAGATAATTTTCTATTTTATAAGTTAATTAAATATGTATGTTACCATTAAAAAATATATATAAAATTGACACCTCTTTAGTACAACGGATGATCCTAAAAAGTAATAGCTAATAAATTAAGAAATATATGTAGCTAAAAAAAACAAAAATTTTGTTTTCAATATTATTATAATATTTTGAGAGTAATCGAATGGTTTATAATAAACTGATCACCATGTATATTAAAAGAAAAGGGGAAATGTATTTTTTTGTATACACAAAATTTATTTATAGTTGAGTATACGAATCGTAGACATAGTAATAACATTTTACTTTAAATTATTACTAAGAGACGAATTGTAAGTCGGCTAACGGCAAAATAATACGTTACGAAGAGTTAGGAGTTAAATTTATTTATGAACTATTAATAAATATTCAAACAAAATTGCGATGAACACAAATGACGTAAATTCAAGATAAATAAATATTTTTAAACTTAGTAACGGTTTCGATAGGTACATACCTAAAACTTATTTACGCCACTTTACTTTCCGTTTTTCTTTAAAAATCACTTTTTAATTATTTTTAAGGTTGATTATTTTAAAACTATGCTTTCTAAGTGAACATAATTTTTAGAATATAATCTAAACATTCAATTTCATAATTTATACCAATAAAAAAATGACAAAAATATAATCTGGCCTAATTATTTTAACTAGTGAAACTACAAAATTATTTTTAATTTCATGAAACGTTGGTTTAATTGAATGCATTGTTTAAATTAAATCACATGTTTAATCATAATGTACACGTGATAGTTGACGTTGACGTTGTATTTTTGGTGTTGAATATCATTCTATTAAAACAAATTGAGGCATTGCAAAACACCGTATCCTTATTTTAGGATTCAATCTAATGCACAATGGAAACCCCGAAAAAACTCTAATGAAAAAATTTTAAAAAATTTTTTACGATTGATTACTCAATGAAGTTTGATTAATATTTAAATTAATTGTTTAGTTCTTAAATATTTCACTCATTTACAAATACATTTTATTACAATAAATTATCACAAGTAATATGTTTTGTGATTCTAATAACAATATTTCTAGAGGTCTAGGTCATGGCATAATAATAATCATCATTTTATAACAACTTCAATTTTGTTGTGAATTTTATTCATACTTTTTCCTTAAACATGGCTTGAAATTTGATGCATTTTCAAAATTTCTCTCAGTCAGATGCAAAGACTATGATATATTAATTTATAATAAATGTGGTTAATATATTATTTAAACAAGTTCTAATGCGTCTTCTTACCACAAAAAGTAAATATTTATACATTGCTAATTCATAACATGATATTGTAGGTGTGAAGTTCATACAACTCGCATTTCTCACTGACTTCCCGGCCAAGTTTATAGTACTCAAAAATATCGTGAGCCTCGTAAAGCTTCTCTCTCAGTTTAGTAATTAGTATTTTACAATTACGCTAACCAAAACAAAACCTTTTTACGTTATTGTAACCAAAGTACAAATACAATATTTAGCCAAACGTTTTATAGAAAAAACATTCACAAACTCAGGATTTCGATACTAATCTTTAAACATTCCAACAACTCAATCCTGATTTATCATTTATTAAAAGCCGTTAGTTAAATGAGACTTAGCCGACGATTGGTTTTAACTCGAATGTTACTTATAAGTAACGCTCGATGTTTTATGACGGGTCAAAGACCCGAGTATCACACGAGAGAGAAAGTGAATCGACATATTCCACTGTACAACGACATGGTATGCTATATTGAATTTATTCGCACGTGTTCCACTCTATCTACGTTTACCAAACGTCGATCCTCCCTCTCATTTTTGTTATTTATTTATTTTTTTTATTTTAACTATTTGAAATATCAACACTGCCTTCTGTCGCATTATGTAAAACCAGACTGGCCGATTTTACGCCCGTTTTATTTTTCCAGACAATCTCGACTTCATTTGAACGTTACAGTGTGGTTTTAACGAAGTTACAATATTTAGATAACCTACTCATGAAAAGTCAATGAACTGTCTAAAGTTTGTTAAGAAAAATATTGCATGACCTTGTACTACTACGACCAATGGTTCTTAAAATTGTAACTAAACATAATATGTATTTGTATTTGTACTTAAATGAAACATTAATATGATATACACGGACTACGGAGGTGATCAAACGTATGAACCACTTGATTGGATTATTTTTGAATGTTAATTGAATTAAATTTTCAAATTTAGTTTAAGGCGAAAAAATAAAATAAAATTATCACATTTGAATATTTAATTACAGACTCAATTACACCAAAAATTTAGCCAAGTTCCACGCAACCTTAGAATTTCATTACTTGTTAAAATTAGTATGTCTTTTGACTGATGTTCCCTGTGGCCATCATCTAAGCAGAGAAAGTAATAGTTCTAGCAAAAAAAAAAAAAAACTGTTTGGATCAGATTTTTTTTTATCAATCTGGTTTTCCCCTCTGTGGTAATTTTACAATCTAAAAACCAGTAGCCACGATCTTTAATGTTGGTTTTTTATAACAACGTTTTTTTTGGCAAATCTTAATTCACACAAAAACTGGATTTATCTCTCTTAAAATAATACTGCAAGCTATAAAAAAAAAAGAATAATACACAAGCGCCACTGGTTTACATTCAGCACCAATGCGAATATATATAATACGCAACTCTCTATCTCCATAATCGCGTATATAAATCTATAAATAAACACGGCACACTAATAAAAATTAAAATATTTTATATAAATACAAACGTCGTGCGCAATTTATATAAAATTGTTAAACGTAAAAAACAACTCTATCATACACATTAACATGTAAATTATCTCTTAGATAATATGTACACCTTGTACTTGAAGTAAATGTACAAAAAAGATTAAGTTTTTGAATTTAGAAAATTGGAACAACGTACTCTGTAGAATGATCCATTTATTCGTTTTTTTTTTTTTTTTTGACTTTTATTTGAACAGTATTAATTCAATTTTTTATCTAACGGATATTCGAATTTATGGACTGTAATGAATAAACTCAACATAAAAAAAAAAAATGGACACTATTTGAATATTATGGTCTAAAGCAATTTTGTCTAACTGCATAAAAACCTATCAATCCGTATTACAATAATTTAAATTTTGTAAATTTGACAAAAAATATTACAAAAACTCCATGGTGATTTTTAAATAATGCATGGTCAATAAACGCCGTATAACTAAGTAAATAAAAAAAATCACTTATCATAAACTCGGTGACCGTCCATAACCAAAATTTTTGTTATACATGTTATTTATTGCAATAACGGAACATATTTTTTTATACAAACATAATTTACTATATTGCTTTATAATCTTGTATTGTATTAAAATTTGAGCTCATGATATTTGATAATTTGTTAATGCATAACATTATAATCGTGATTTATCATCGCGGTGTACTAATAATTAAGAATTAGGTATTGTTTTGTACAATAGGCACGTGATTGTCTCAGATAACGCAACAAATCACTAACAATTAAAATATAACTGCGCACCACTATTTTCCCATGATTAATAATCTTATAAGAAATATCAAATTCATAATGTAGTAAAGTGTTTTACCTCGAAGCACATAAATTGAAATAACTATTTATTTAGAAAATGCGCCAACGTTGGCAATATATTTTAGCGATAGGTTTATATAAGATTTTATTCAGTAGATGTTGTTTCTATAAGTCGCGATGCCGAGGTCCTTGAACCAGCTTGTATTAGTAAACGAAGAAATAGAAGAAGAAGAAGAAGAAGTAGTAGTAATAGTAATAGTAGTAGCAGTAGTAGTAGTAGTAGTAGTAGTAGTAGTAATAGTATTAGTAGTAGTAGTAGTAGTAGTAGTAGTAGTAGTAGTAGTAGTAGTATATGATCAACTTAATTATTGTCAATGATTTAACATGACCACACACAACTACCTAAAGAAATTAAACAATTCTAAATTAACATCACATACAAAGTAACTATCAATGTTTTATGTATCTAAGTAAATAAGTAATACCGATTTAATATTAAATTTATCCTTGTGTTTCTTTAGTATAGTCTCTCAAATACCTATTTGTTAATTTCTAATTCCTCATTCCATAAAAGTGAACCAAGTCAAATCAATGTACCTAATCTCAGAATGTTATGAACTCCTATTTTATTATTATTAAATATATATTTTTAATAGATAGCTAGCTATTTAGCATAGTCTCTGTAGACAACGTATCTATGGACAACTATTAAACTAGCCCGTCTACCAAACCAGCCCTACATAACACAGTTTAGGTAATATCCGTGTTTCTTCTAGACATCGTTATCCGGTACACGGTCCATAACCGTTGGTATTATCGTTAAAATCTGATTGCTACAACAAAGAACACGCAACTCACTCGTCTAAAAAAACTTCTCTAGGTTGTCTTATGGTTTACAGGGACTAATCCAAGTACATCACTGGATTACAACATAAGGTTATAAGTAAAAATTCTATAAATCATTTTATTTGTAAACAAAACACAATACGTGTAATTGATTTAAAATGATACTATACTATAAAAACATCCAAGTAGAGTGTCTGGTTCTATTCAGTGTGTCACTGTGTCTAATGATGGACTGGTTTTCTTTGCCGTGCGGTCGATGACCCTTGGCAAGCGTAGCGACAACACCTTTTTCTAACTTAAGACCAACACATAACAATATGATAAAAACCGTCATAAAATGTAGCCACATAACAAACAACGAGTATTGTGATCAATCGCAATTATCTGAAAAAAAACGTAATTTGTACTTCGATATAATAGTTATAATTAGCTTTACAGTTTTTTTATATTTATTAAAATATATAAATATTTGACAACAAACAAAGTATACAACTAAAAAATAAAATAATAATATTCCAATTGATAAATGAATGAGTGTTTAATCAAGAAGTTGCGATGAGAATTTAAACCATTTAATACGAATAAGAAATATTCTAAGGACAAAAAAAAAAGGTTAATGTTATAATTTATGAAACGACAAATTAAACTATACCGTTTCCTTTTTTAAGCAACTAGTTCACTTTTAAAATAAAATATGAAAAATTAGATAGATTTAAAGAAATTTTACTTTTATTTGGTAACTTTGTAAAATAATTTTTGAAATATATGACTACAACAAATTGCTATATTTTTTATTTTATCATATTATTTTTTCGTTTGCATTATATTATACGGCAGTGGTGCATTTATAAATTTTGTATAGAAGAATTCAGATAGTTTTTAAAACGTAAAATAGTGGAGAACTTGACTCCTCCACTAACCACTACCATGGTGTTATATCCATAAGAAGACCACAAGGACCCCGTAAACACGCCATTGCTTTAGGTATGTATTGAATGCCACCCTTTGTGGAAGTAAACACGATGTACGATGTGTTAAAACCTTCAGGGATTGTCTTGTTGTTTGTAAACATGGATATAAGCACTTCAAGCAACGATGTACGATGTTACGATTATTTAATTACACTTTAGTTGGTAGAGTAATTTAATTATTTATACAATTTTTTAATTATCAACGTATAAACTCATCGCACAGGCATCGAATTTCAGCTTGCGTGTGTGATCATATTGCAACGGTCGAGGAAGAATCGACGTGCAATCGATCTATCTGCTTTCTCGGTAGTGTCTATTGTCGATCCCGCGGGCCGTAGTTTTTTTCCAATCGAATAATTTCTCTACACTTCGATTACGTCCACGAATCAAAACATCAACAGTGAGAGTTCGTTAACATAAGTTTGCAATTCAATATTAATGTACAAACGAGCTTTGAATTTACTCAAAGGTCATTATTCTATTAAGATATGCAATAGAAAATGAAAAAATTCAACTTGGCAATATTACTTTCTTCACTTATAAATGAGTCAAATTTTCTGAATCATTTAAAAACCATAACCTTAAAGATTGGACTCGTTAAATTATAATTTCACTAATTTAGTTTATTGATTAGTCGCGGAATATTAATTAACATAAAATATTTAATTAAAGTTTTTGAAAAAAGACTAGAATTTCGATTTCTCACCACTTAAGAAATTTCAACAAGTACTCCTCTAAATAATTGATGGTTTTACTACTTTCAAAATCTACTAGATAAACTAGATAAGTAAAAGTATATCTACTAGATAAGTATATATACTTTTTTGCAAACATTTATATTTCAGTGAATACATCCAAGAGGTCAAAGACCTTATTAAATTTCAATATAGTAAAACATTTTTCTCCCATCAAAATATTCGAGCCACTGAGAAGCGATTAGTTTAGTAACTGTTGGGATAGGAAAGAGAATACTCAAGTGACAACTGAAGAAGTCAGACAGGTTAGTCTACCATTGTAGAGTGTAATAGTTAAAAATGATAATAATTTTGAGCCTTGGGATGTTACGCGGCAACAAATATTCTAATCTTCCAATAAAAGACAAACCCGACAGGCTTTCTCAATTCTAATTTATAGCCCACAGGCTTAGTAATTTATCAATCTAATAACACACATGCTTTGTACTATACATTAATATGGGTATAGTTAAAATTCAATAGTTGTTTAGCAAAGACATTGCAAAAATACGAGTTGTAAAATGTATCACTACATGATTAAATAATAATTCATAAATGAAAGTACTTAATAAAACTGAAAATATTGAACGCTAATTATTAGTAAAAACATTTTCATTTTTCTTTTAACATTAAGTAGAACTTAAGGTTTTTGTTAAATTAAAAATATATAGCACATAATATAACTAAGTAGGTTCAACGAGTAGACGTATGCGTTGGATATAATCTTTAAGGAGTTAAAATTGTTTAATTTCTATAATTTTTTTCGAAATCTAAAATCATGTATAGGAAAATGAGGCTTTCACAACGTTTTTCATTTGTTTTGGAAGTCATAGCACCGATGCATAAAAAATTTATAACATCTTTCAAATAATGAATACTTCTATAATCATTCATAAATAACCAAACTGCAATTGAAGCAAAATGGCTTAACTCCAAAAAGTTATGAGTAAAGTCATTCTAAGCATCTTAATTGTATATAAACTGATCTTGTCAACATATTCTCTAAAAAGTTACTATGAACATTTTTATTATAGATTTCACACTTTTTATATGAGGCCCTATTACCATCTAGATGTTCACGCTAATATTACTGGTTAACTCATAAAGTATTAGAGAACAGAATTTGTAAATAAAGGAAAAACTTTAAAGAATATTTTAGAAAATTTCTTTAACATGAAAATATTTTCTAAATAGAAGTTATCGTAAAAAACCTGTGATGTGTTCATTAAGATTTCCAATAAATCTCCAACAGTTTAACATCGATATTCTACAACTCTCTGAAAAAAAATATATGATAAATTATAAAATCATATTTATCATAATTTAAAAGATTTTCTAGTAAAAAATCAACTTTTCCCTAATTATGATTTGTTGACCGTTTGAACAACTATTAGAAGACTCCACAGCGCAAGTGTCTTGTATATAAACATAAGTGGCGCACACGCGAATGTTTTACGTAATTTATTTTTTCATCGCCTTGAGGAATATTTGCAAGCATAATTAACGAGTACAATAAGGTCGCAACGTTATAAGCCAAAAAAAAAACAATTGTTCATATTTTTATTTATTATTATGATTTTTTTTTTTTGCTACTATATTTTTGGCGTCAGACATTAAATCACAAATTACGTAACGCAGAACTACACATGTAATAGCTAATATTAATAGCCAGTAAGTCCTCGACAGCGTTTGGCGGTAAATGGAGATCCCGTTGTAAAATAGTAAATGTTAATATTTTTTACAATATCTACAAACTATGAAATACAAGATGTATCTAATGGTATAATACATGTTATGTGATTCTGCTGTTTTGTCATTGTTTTTCAACTAATAAACATGGTAAATTAAATACTTTTGTAGAAAATCTTTGATACAGGATTCTTTATTCATAAAGTAAGTGATAACTTCACATCTTTGCGAAAAAAATTCTTGCTATAAGAATATGCAATGTTGGGACAAATCATAATACCATTTTACAGTAAAATGTTATTCATTATCAATTGATTATGATTTTTCTATCTTTGCAATGAGAAATATCAAATTATAAATGTATACTATGTAGATTTAGATGATTTCCAAATGAGTTATGTAAAAAAATTTAGGCAAATACCAATTTTAGATAGAAGAAATTTTTTCTTTTTTTGAAATGAAAGTTCCAAATGATTTTAGCTAACAAATGATATTTAAAAACACAATACATCTATCATATCAAACTCAAATCAATAGTAATCAGAATTTTACTCGATAGAAATACGTATTCATGGATTGTTCCATTTAAATATATCAAATACTTTTAGTAATGATAAAAAGTAATTTTAGAAACATTATTAGACTAGATAATAAATGCTTACGCTTTGAGAGCTGATAAATTTATGTTTGAATCACCCGGTATACATGTGACATAGCCTATATAAATAGCCTCGGGTTGAAAATATTTTATAGTTGTATCCACGAACCAGTTTTAGTAAAAGAAACCACAGCTCATCAGTATCCTAACAAATTACACGATGATGTTTCAAAATCTATTTAATATTTTTTTTTTGTGTTAATACCATATTATTTTTTAACTAATATTAAAATAGGTAAATTCATTAAAATATTATACGGTACAATGAAAATTAACATATCCAGACCATGTTTTGTATCCTGTTCTCTCTTATTTTCCCTGCCATTGGCACAACTTGAATTTAGCTATATCCTATATGTTCTCATTCTCTCTATTCCATTTATAATTTAATATCTACGAAATTACAATCATATGTCATAACTGTTACCAGTATTTTTTTCACATTTCATTCTCAACTATACAGACATTACTTCATTAGTCAAATGTATTCCATAAAACTGTACATTCTCACAAATACCATTGGTTGAAAATTTCGGAAGATTTGTGATATTCCCTATGTTATTAAACATATAATTGTATCTACAAAATAAAAATGTTCAAACTTGAGATTTAATTTAATCTCAGATTACACATCTCTCCTTAGTTAGGGATACTTCAGAAAGTCAACGCACTTATCATAATAATAAAACAAGAAATCTTAAAAGTATAGAAAAACTACGCTTTATACAATAATTTAAAAAGAGGCGTCGAAGAGCTGATATCAAAAAAGTCTGTTTTCTAGTAAAGAAACTTGATGACGTCTAACAAATATCCATTTTGCTGATATACAGTGCTACTGCAGTATACATAAGTACTAATATAATTTAATTATTTTGTAATAGTTATGAAACTATACAATTAATGCGTACTTACTAACATTTATACCAATGTTTGTATGATTCAAATTAAATATAGAACCTAATAAAAACTAATTATCTATAAAAAGTTTTGACTTGAGTTCTTAAATGTGAAGTTTATAACTAGTATATTTAGTAGTTCTAAATCTATTTTTGGTAATTTTAAGTTGGAATACAAGTTAATTTGTCAGAATGTTCGTATTTTTATTATTAATTAAATATTAAACCAAACAGTTATAAACCGGGTCTAAACAATAGTAAATTTTAGTTGTTATAAATGTCTATTTACATTATATTTTAGACTAATTGACCGATATTATTTTAAAATTTCTTGGTTGTGGATGTTATAGTCAAGTGAATTTTTGTTTTAATTTAGTCATTTAATAACAACACTCATTTACAGAACATATTTTTTTCAATGTTACAGAAAAAATGT